TTTTACCTAATGAAAATATATATGAATAAATTATTTATAAAAAAATATAAAACAGACACAAATATTAATCAAATTAATAAATAAATGCTCACATATTCTTAAAAATATTAATATATAGTTATTAAAGAAATACATTTATTATATACATATATATATATATATATATATATATAATACATATAATAAATTTAATGTAATATTGTAGACCACTTACAAAATATACAATTTTAAAAAACAAAAATATATAAAAATAAATAAAACAAAGGAAAAAAAAATATTTTTTGTGAAAATAAATTAACCTATAAATAAAAACATTATTAAAAAAAAAAAAAAATACCATATTTTTATTAATTAACGATAGTTTATGCTTAACTAATTAATGTAAATTTTGCGGATGTAATTATATTAGAAATGGTCAATGTTAATGAGAAAAACATTTCAGAAAAGAAGAAACCAATAATAAAAAAAATAGAAAATGAAGAATATATTACAACATCGTTAGTAGAAGATACAACAAATAACAAAGAAGACATCAATAATGACAAGAATGAAAATGAAAAAAGTGAACAAATTAAAAAAAATTATGAGAATGATCCAAGTTTAGAATCAAGTTTGGGATCGGACAGTGAAAATTCAGAAAATTTTGAAAATTTATTAAAAAATGTTAAAGTAATTAATATTTCAAGCTTTAATAAGAATCAATTAAATTCAGGCAAGAGAAAAATAATCACAATAAAAATATTCAATTTATTAAATATTATACAATATAATTATATACATATGTACATTTTATCTAAAAAAAAGTTATATATATATATATATTTTTTCATATACGAAATAAATGTATATAATATATATTTTATTTCGTTATTATTATCCCTTATGACTTATTATACTTATACAAAGCAGACAAAAGTTCAAAATCCTTTTCTACTAATGGAAAACATTTGCCTATGGCTTTATCTTTCATATACAATTTTATGGTTGAACATGAATTTATTGAAACTCTTGAAGTATTTGAGGTCCTATATTAGGCATATACAAAATTATTAGTTTTTAACTTTTTTTCATTTTTATGTTTTATTTACAATTTATTCTCTCTTATTATTCTTTTATTATTTTTGTTGAAAACAAAAATGTAAATGAAAAAATATGCATACTATATATTTGTATTTTTGCATATTAGAAGGAATATGTAAAGAAATTTCAAGACGATATTAATAATCTAAGAAAAATAGAATATGAAAATTTATTTACACAAAATGAGCTATTAAGAAATGATTTCTTAAATCACGAAAAACTTACAAAAGAAGTTCAAAGTTCTTTAGAAGATGCAAAGTATAAGTCTAATGATCAGGAAAAAATAAGAAAAGTTTAATATCACATTGTCTAATCCAATTAAACATTTTTTATTTTTTTATTATTCATATATATATATATATATATTTTTTTTTTTTTCCTTTTATATTAGTAAAAAAATTCAGAAAATTATAAAAGAAAGAGATTATTATATAATGCATCATAAACGGGTCCTCCAAGAGAAGGAAACTTTAAATAGTATAGTTTATATAAGAATTTTTATATTTCTATATTAATTGTTCAATTGTTTGAAAATACATTTTTAATTTTTGTAAAAATATATTAGACATTGAAATTAATTAATCCCTTCGTTTTTAATAGAAGAAATACATAAACAGAAAAATGAAATTGAAAAAATTCAAAATTCTGTTGATGAAATAAAAATGAAATATGAAGTATGTATAAATAATAGCTTTAAAATGTGAATATTTAAAGGGAAAATTAATCTTATCAAAAAAAATAATGGCATATAAAATATGTATTATTTTTGTTTTTAAAAAATAAATTATTATTGTTATTTTTTTTTTTTTTTTTTTTTAAGTCTGCTATTAAAGAAAAAATGTTGATTCTCCTGGAGAAAGAAAAAAGGGATGCTAAAATAGAAGGGTTAAATAAGTATATAGAGAGATTGAAAGATATCTTAGGAAGTAGTAAATTAGATGATTCAACACTTGATATTTCTTCAATAAATGCAAAGGAAAGTGAAGCATCGCATAATATTTTAAAAACTGATAAAAATAATTTAGGAAAAGATAATATAAAAAGAGAAGATACACCTTGGCCTAACAATGAAAATGCCGATTGTGCATTTATTGAAGAAAATAATGAGAGAGATAATATTTTTAATTTATCTATTACATCCTTAAATATTGAAAAATCTTTTAATGCTCATAATAATGCTGTATTAGGTCTTGCATACAATGATGAAGTTCATTTATTAGCAACCGGAGGAGATGATGGTTTGTGGAAAACATGGAGTAGCATGAATTATGAATTAGTAATGGCTTCTCAGGGACATAAAAAATGGATTGGAGATATATGTTTTAATAACAAGGGGAATATTTTATGTACATGTAGTGGAGATTCTAAAATAAAAATGTGGGATTTAGTAAAAGAAAAATGTGTTCATACTTTTAAAAATTCAACAGGGCCTATATGGAGCTTATCGTTCCATCATCAAGGTAATTTAAATTATTTCTAAAATATGAAATTATATATATAGTGATATAAAATTATCTTTTTTGAATTTATTTTTTAGGTGATTTTTTTGCTTCTGCTTCAATGGATCAAACAATAAGAATATTCGATATAAACAGTTTAAGACAAAGACAAATTTTAAGAGGTCACGTTGATAGTGTTAATTCTGTAAATTTTCATCCATATTTTAGAACACTTGTTAGTGCATCTGTGGATAAAACTGTAATACCAAAAAAAAAAAAAAAAACAAACAATAATAAAATAATAGATTATTATTATTTATACAGAATAAATTTACTTCTTTGTTATAGATATCAATCTGGGATATGAGAAGTGGATTATGTGAAAATACTTTTTATGGGCATCATTTCCCATGCAACTATTCTAATTTCAACAAAGATGTAATATACATTAAAAATTGAAAAAATATTATAAAAAAAAAAAATATATATATATATATATATATTATGTCTATAAGAATTAAAACAATTAATGTTGCAAACTTTTATATATAGGCAAATTGGATAATTTCTTGTGATTCTGGTGGTGTTGTTAAAATATGGGACATACGAACAAATAAATGTTTTATTAATATAGATGCAGGTTCAACTATTACTCAAAATTTTATATTCATAATTATTTTATTTTTTTTTTTTTAATTCTTTATATTAATAATATCATTTCTTCTAATTTTATTTTACATTTTTCTTCTTTAATTATATATATATATATATATATATATATGAATTAGGACCAGCATGTGCAAATAAATGTCCCATGGATAAAAATAATAAATATTTATTTATAGCTTCAGAAGATCATACAATTAAAATGTACAAAAAACAAAATTAGCTAATATATACATATTGCTTTTAAAAATAATTTTTTTCATTTTTTATATTTTGTTAGATTTAATGTTGTGGAAAAAAAGTTTATTAGAGTATTAAAGCATGAATTCCCAATAAAAGTAAAAAAATAATATAAAGACATATAATTATATTTGTGCTTCATAAAATTATATGCAATGGATATATTTATTTTCAATAAATAATATTTACAGAATGTTATACTTGCAAATAATAAAATAATTTGTTCATTATCCAGTGGAAATATATGTATTTGGGAGCAAAAAACAAGCTAAACCTTTTAGATTTTTATCTTTATAGAAAAAAGTATTAAAGACATATAAAATGGAATAATATATTTTTAATTTCTCATACAAATATAATTTGACAAAATTGTGTTTATATATCATTTTATATTTTTGAAAGTTCATATAAAATGTATATTACTTATATGGAACAAGTTGTTTTATTTAAAAAACGTTTTAAAATATGTACAATTCATAATATTTTGTAGTACATTTTAATATGTGTGCAAATATATATATATATTTTTTTTTTTTTTTTTTTTTTGAAACAAAATAACATATTAAATGAATGTATTATATATATATATAAATTAAATATTGTAATTAAAGCGTTATCCTAAAATACAACAGATACGTTTTTTGCATTCTTAAATATAGAGGGTAGAAACACACTTTTTTTTTTATATATATACTTGAAATAATAAATTAAAGTTAAAAATACATTGATAAATAAAATAAATACATAGGAATGAAAAATAAAATTAAAGATATAAAAACACTTAAAATTATTTTCACATAATTAAAAGTTGTAATGTATAATTGATAAAATGAAACAATAATTAATATTACAATATAAAAATTGAATTCATCTTTCTATATTTAAAAAAAAGGAAAAAAAAAATTTCATACGATACAATAATTTTGAAATATTCATAAAATGAAAAAAAATTAATAATGTTTTGGAAAATAAATAAATAGCAAATCCATACAGATTTATAACCTTACAAATGTAATATATAATATATTATTTCAATATATGCCAACATAAATATATTAAACAGCTTTGAAAAGTAAAATATATATATACATATACACATATATATATATATATATAGTAATGTTTTATTATAACTTTTATATGACACCCCTTTAATTGAATATAGAAAGATACTTCTTCATATTTTTATTTTTTTTTTAATTCTTTATTATATTTTAAAATATTTTTAAACTTTATTTTTCCCCTTTATTTAAGAAAATTAATTTTAATATAGTTTATTTAATGTAGTTCTCTTTTTTTTCCTTTTTTTTAAACAAATTAAATATATTATATATATATATTATATATAATACATATATATATATATATATAAAATATATACTTGCATGCATTTTATTGTATAAAATGTTTTTTTATGTATATTTTTAGCTAGTTCAACACTTTTTTATACTAAAAAAAAAGAAAATAAAAATGACACTTTTTGGTCCCATGTTCGCATACCTTTTTTTTATTTTTATTGTTTTGTAAAAAATAATATAATTTTTTTTTTTTTTTATATTCTTTTTTTTTCATCGTCTTCTTTACCGAAGACTGCAGCATAAATATATAGCTATTAAGGCGATGAAGAAAAAATTGCGTTAAATTTAAAAATCTGATAAATAAAATATTAATAAAATTTATTTTGTTATTTTTTTATTTTGAGATGATAAAACGTAAGATAGCAGAGCCTTTTTTTTATTTTCAAAAAAATATCATAATTTATATTTATTTTTATATGAAAAATTAAAAAAAATATTTTAACTGTGTTAAATTTGTAATAAAATTATATGAGAAATAAGAAAAAATAAAAAGTTTGCCAATATCATTTTATTTTAAATATAGTTTATTATAATTTAAATATATGAAAAAGTAAAAATCTTAAAAATCCTATTTTATAATAATTATGATAAAACCCCCCTTTCTCTTACAATTTTTTTTGTTTGATCATATTCAAGGATCCTCAAATGATATATTTTTAATATGAATTATTTAAATATATTTATATGTAATAATTACAAAATTATAAGTTCCATCACAAAAAAAAAAAAAAAAAATTATATATATATTTATATGGATGTATGTATATTATATGTATTTTTATAGTTAGAGATAAATATTTATATTTTAAAACTAAAATATTTTATACCCATTTTACAAATGAGTATTTCCCTTTTGTATGTTATTTTAAAATCTCTATTCTTCCTTATTATATATCGTGAATGAAATAAATTTTTTTTCATCTATATATATATATATATATATATATATTTTGATGAACTCATCTGATTTATATTAGATGAAAGGAATTTTTTTTAAAATGCTAAAACATTATATCAAATATGTATATATAAAAAATTCTATTATTATATATGCATAAAATTTTATTTAAAAAAAAGAAATAATACTGTCCTTTTGAATAAATGTAAAAATTGTGAAACAATTTTAATAATATATAGTAATATATTTCATATATATTGAGGGAATATTATTATTTCTATTTTAATAATTTTTTTGTATGAATTCTTAGAAAGACTAATGTAAAAGGTTGATTATAACCATGATATTAAAAAAAAAATACCTCAATTCTGTTGATTCTTCTTTTCATTAAACTTGATATTTTCAAGCGATCTCTCATTCTTAATAAATAAATATATATATATATATATATTACATATGTGTATCAAAAAGTCAAAACAACCAAAAGTATATGTATGATATCTTTTATAATAATAGTATAAGCCATACTTGTATTTTCAAACGTTAATACTAATTAGTTACATTATATGTATAAATATATAAGTTTGAGATGTAATTAATTTATATTAATTGATATTTTTTTTTGTGAAAATGTTAAAAGGATTCAAAACAGTCGTATACGTAATTTTATATTTCTCTTTAGTAAATATTATATTCTTTTATGTTTTATAACCATTTAATAAAAGAATAAATGAGAAAAAAAAAAAAAAAAAAAAAAAATTTGGAAATCTTTAAAATTCAACTTCTTTTTATAAAAGAATAAAATTATGTGTTATTTTCATAAAATTATTATGTTATATAATTATACTTTTACAAAATAAGTATATTTTTTCCATACATAATATTCAGTTAAATAATAAAAAAAAAAAATAATAAAATAAATAAATAGAGTTCTTTATCATGAATTTATAAAATATATATTTATTTTAAATATGGACATAATATATTCTTATAAAATGTAAATTATTTTTCTATTTCTACTTCTTTTTCTTTTTTGTGTGTGTTATAAATAATTTAATATTTTTCTTCAAAAAGTCCATCAGATATATATACAAAACGTGGTGTTACTTCTTCTCCTTTATAATAAGAATAAATTATACCTGCTTCCATATCAAGTGATTCTCCCATATAAAATTCAAAATCGTCAAAGTTTGTTAAAATGTGTTTAATAAATGGTTGAGCTTTAGTTTTAAAAATTTCAACACGATCTGGTTTTTTCTCTTCTAAATATTTGGCAATCTTTTGCATATAATTTTTAATATAAGCACTATATTCTTTTTTACTAAAAGCAGTGGAGGTCAATTGAAAGGAATCAACAATATCAATGACATGTTCAACGTCTGCTCCCATTCCTTCTACAGCATCTTCACTATTATCAGCAATACCATAATCTTCATTTCCCTTTATTCTTTTATTTGATTTTACTTCAAAAGCTATTTCTCTAAATTCGGGTACTTCAAATGGATCTTGTTGAACATAAGAATCGGAACATACTTCATCATTTGTAAAAACGTCTTTATATACTTTCATTTTTAACAAAAATTAGGAAAATAATGTATTTGTTTATAATAATTATATTATTAAAATTTCTATAAAAATATAAAAATTTTATTTAAAAACAAGACAATAATTATTAAATTTTTAAAAACAAAAATTCAAAAATATATATATATATATTTTAAAAGGATAAATAAATATATATATATTTTATACTAACAATATATTATATAATAAAATATATGGCATTAAAATTTTTTATTGTTATAAAAAAAAAATTAAACAATTAAAATTAGAAATTTTAAAAGAAAAAAGAAAAAATTGAAGAGATGGAAATAATAACAGATAAGAAAATGAAAAAAAAAAAAAAAATAAAATAAAATAATTAAATTATTTATATTATATACATATATATATATATATATATATTATCACATACTTTTTTTTTTTTTTTTTTTTTTTTTTATTAATATTTTAACGCTGATTTTAACAACATATATAATTATATATATATATATATATAGTATATATGTATATATTAATATATATATGATATATATATATATATAATAATTTGTTATTAATATTTATTTTGTATTTATGTATTTCCTTATTTTTTTTTTTATTGTAAAAATAATAGTTCATAAGAGATATAATAATAAATATTATTGTGTGATAAAATAGTTTGTTTATATAAAAAAACAATTTTCAATAAAAAAAAATATTAAATAATAATAACATAAAAATTAATAATTAGGGGCATTTTTTTTTCCCCCCTTTTTTTTTGTTTTTAAAAAATTAAGGCTGTATATGAACACAATAAATATATACCATATCATATAAGTAAATAAATGAATATATATATATATTTTATAATAAATTTAATCATGATATAGCAAAAGTGTTATTATTATATTTAAAACAAAATTACACATTGTTTATATAGTATTATATTTGTATTTAATTAGTAGATAAAGAAAAAATATATAACGGGAAAAAAAAAAAACTTTAAAATAAATATTGTTTATATATTATTCTATTAAAAGAATAGTTGTTTTAAAATGTAACTTATGTTTAAAGTACATTATTATATATATTATATGTATATAATTTAATATAAATTTTTTTTTTTTTTTTTTTTTTTTTTTTTCTGTTAGTATTTACCAAAATGAACAGAATTATTTATATGATTATTATAATATTGGCTTTATTAAATTGTAAAAGTTATGGTAAATCAAAACTGAAAAAAGGTAACAATGCAAATTGAATTATTATATATTGTTATTTATTTATCTGTACAGTATTATATACAATAATTTTGTAAATTTGTGGTAATTGTTAAAGCGGGAAAATACATACCTATATAGGTTATATATATATACATATATATATGTAATACCAATATGTATGTAATTTTTTCTTTTTTTTTTTTCCCCCCCCCCCCTTCCAACATTTGTTCATATGACTTAATAATAGGTAATAAAAAAGGAAATAAGAATGTATCCTTAGGTGGAGAATTTTTAGGTGATATTACACCTATGCCTAATTCTGTTTATAATATGCATGTTGATTTAAATAAAAATTACGAGTTCAATAATTTTGTTCTTAATGAAAATGAGCATATAAATAAAATATTATTTTTAATGTATAAAGAACATAATAATACGATGAAGGAAATTGAAGAAATTATGAATTCAAGACAAAACATAATTCAACACTTAATTAAAGAAATGGAAAAATTAAAAGATAATTAAAGTATTCTTTAAATTGAAGCAAAAGGATTATATTATATACATATATATATATATATATATATATATATATATATGTAATAATTAAATGTTTTTAATTTTTAATACAATTGTTTTTACTTTTTATTTTTTGGTAATATTTCAAAGCAATCATTTGTTGAGAATTTTAATTTTAATAAAAATTAATTTTTCCATTGAATTAATTTGTCTCAATTCGCATTCGATATTTTCTTCCTTTTTTAAATATATATATGAATTGTATTATTTTTAATTAATTTATCAGCACGAAAATATAGAATATATATTTTTCTACAGATAAATAAAAAATACCCAATATCCTACACGTTATTTTATTTATTAATTTAATTTTTTTTTTTTTGTGAGTATATCTTATTTATTATGATATAAATAAAAAAAAAAAAAAAAAAAAAAAAAAAAAAAAAAAAAAAGTATTATACAAATAAAATAATAAGATATATAATATACATAAAAGTGTGGAAAATTTTGGTGTTATACTATTAAATACAAATATAATTTCGATTTCCATTTTTATTTTAAAGCAATTTGCCTTTTTCATTGAAAAAGATATAATATATATATATATATATATAATGAATCGATATAATTTTCTTACTTTTTATAACTTTCCTTTTTTTTTTTTTTTTTTTTTTTTTATTTATAAGGCAAAGAATAAAAAAATGAAAGTAATTACACCCTATTCGAGAACAACCAGTCCATGCAACATTATTGTTATATATATAATATTTAATTTAATTTTAGCCACTTAATTTTTTTTTTTTTTTTAAATTAAAACATATTGAAAATATTATTTATTAAAAATAAAATAAATATTAATGTTACATAAAATAAATATAATAATTATTATAAAACAAAATTGTTTTGTTTTGTTTTGTGTTTTAATTGTTATATTGTTTTATTTTGTTTTGTATTTGATAAGAAATAATTAACAATTATTAGCATTTCTATATTTTAAAAACAAAAAATATAAAAATAAAAAAACATACATACTTTGTATTTGTGTAAAAAATATTAATTATATAATTTTATTGTTAATTTGTTTTAAAGTTATTAATATATATAATATATTATACATTTACACCCATATAATATGTTTTTAAGGAACTTTTAAGTATATTAAGATATAAAATATCCTATTAATAAAAAATAC